TATATATGACTTCACCACCAGCACCATCACCACCACCGCCACCACCAATTACTCTTAAATCGGATTGCAGTTCAAACACACCAAAGAAATTGCTTCCGAAAACATTGATGTGATCGAAAAGTGAATGGTATCATTGTATTCACCGGGTTGGTCAACCCAGATTTAACCGTTGGAAATGGACAAGTTTCCCTATCCCCCCCCCTCTCTCTCTCTGTCTGTCCACTGAATTGAAAAGAGTAATCCAACATTCCTATAAGAAACACTACTGCTTATCAACCATGCAGTCCACAACCAGAAATATCAATCAAATTTGATAGAGACAGAGCCTGGTTACTGTGCGGTTGTATTGTATTGTATTGAAGCTTTAGCGAGTGATATACAAGCTTTCAGTCAGAAAAATAGACCACCGTTACTATTATGGTAAAAAAGGGGGAAAAGTGGGATGTGAAACGTACAAAAACATGGTTTGATTACCACTTGCGTTAGAAAGCTCGGAGGGAACACCTTCTTTGTCGGGCAGTATCCGGGTCAGATAAGATACCGGAGTTTCTGTATGCAGATAAGCGATACAGGATAGGTTTTTACTTAGAACGAGTGGAGGGATGGGATTTGTATGCACAAACGTCAAAGTGTAGAGGATGGGTGCTATCAGATAGCATATTGTCAACAAACTTCTAGCACGCATCAATATGAGCATTACACATATTGCCAATCAAAACAGATAACGGGACCTGGAAAACACGGCTGATCATTGAGAGGCCACGCGTCAGCAGCTTGAAATCAGCCTTCAGCAAACTAGAGAACATTACAGGGGAGCAGTAAAGGAATACAGAGAGGACACGTTGTTGAACGAAAGCTTTTATCACCGACAAGTCAGAACAGAAGTGGTACAGTCTTCTTATCTGAAAAGAGAGAACTTCAACATGCGAGCAGCAGTTTGGGTATGTAACGACCAGCGAAGGTTACTTTCAAGTGTGACACCTAAGTACTGAGAAAAAATACGCCAGCGGTTACAGCCTCTGTTGAGCAAGATTGGAAAATCGCAGAACATGTCAGAGTGAGACGATTCCCTTTTCTCGGGGTGGTCGTTTGAAATGAAGTACATACAGTAAGCAATAAAACGGGATAATTCGGTAGGCACAGTATCAGTTATGGGTTTCGGCGAAGATCGAAACGGATTGTACTCACTTAGTCAGATGTTTCACCAGTCGATCCAAAGATTTCCGTCCACTGCGGACCCACAGATCACCAGTGAGCCGATCAATGCGTTCACAAAGACTGGATAAATCGCAGCGATCCAGATGCACGGGATCCGGTTGAATGAGACCTGCGTTAACCGCGCGCTGTTCAAGACTATTGCCATCATGAAGAGAATGAATGAGATTGGATCAAGACCCAACAATCGATGTTCTCAGGATCAGCAGATTTCTTCATTTGCTAACTGAGAGACAAACAAGGTTTACACTCACCGAGTCAAATGTAAGCGTAATCCCATAAAACCTATATTTCATTTGAATGACCCGAGAAGATGCGAGAACGTACTCCAATCGAGGCCAAAATATTGTCAGTACAAGAGCGTTCTCACGATTCAACCGTTCCTTGCGTGTTGTAGAGGGAGCACAGATGCACAGTCTCGATTCACCTCTAGTTCGTCATGATGAATTCACCCATCGTCACACAGTCGATGTGAACTGACACGGAAACTATGAAGTATATTTCCCGTGAAGTTGTATTTTGATCTGTGTTCACATGAACATTAGGTTTATTTCGTATCTTCGTTTCTTTATAAATGCACCAGATAAAATGAACAATCGTGCGTTATTTTCCGTATCAGTACGCGGATCCAACTTTGAATCCCTTAAGTCGTTGAACACTAGGTGCATACTCCAGACACAAACAACGTAATGTAGTGGATTGGTTTCAGTACTTACGCATAATTGAATAGACCATCAAAATAACAGAACAAGCGTGACAAACTACGACTGTACTCAATTCCGAAGAAAAAAACTATAACAACAGTCAGCTGGTTCTCTCTCTCACACACACTAGAATCCGATCTCGACAACGCATTATGAGACTGAAATTCATGTTGCTCTGTATTGAGATAACAGCATATTCAAACACATGAAAATAGAAACACATTTCAAAGCACCAAGCTTATTTCTATTGCTGAGAGACACAACGAACCGTAAGATTTTAAAATCCAGTTAATTGGTAGAACAATGGATTTCAGTAAATATGTACTTACGAGTAGCAGATAATGAAATGAGGAAAAATAGGCAATTGACTGTCAGTCAGTCAACCAGAGCAAAAGAATCAACCCTGTATCATTCGGATACATGCGGTTAGGTGTTTCCTGGCCTCCTATTGATTTAGCTTTTGGTCGTTGTCGCGTCAGTATAATCCGCATTCCTCTTTTCGTTTGTGTACGGATAATGCCACTTCAATGGGTCGAATTGTATGTGGTTATCAGAGTGCACTGGGATACGGGACAAAATCCATTCGGAGCGATTTGTAGTAATTAAAAACAGACAACAGAGAGTTTGCATCGATTTCAAACTTCACTGGTATCCGAGACCTTGGCAGTAGTCAGTTTTATCACTTGCCGGAAATGCACTATGATCAGCTTGGAATTCATCGAATGAACCGATTTCTCTACCGATTTTTATAGTAGCGTGCGCGCATTCAAAAGAGAGACTAGAATACGGTCAAAAACATATTGGATAATCGATCGATTTGGACATGGAATGACGAATAAGAATGTCTCCATCAAAAACTATCTGAATTATATATTTACTACAATTCGCCCAACCAATGCCTGATACCATCCAAATTACGATGAACTGGGTCAAACGATGGAGCTAATTAAACACCCTTCGGAGGTCCTTTATCTGAGTTGGAAATTGGTTAGTTGATAAATGACCATCGCGATACCGTTTGAAGAATGGTGCATTGATTAGGGTGAATATCAAATTCGATTCGATGCATCAATCTTCTGGGTTGCATGCGCCAATTGTTGACACTGGTGGATCACAAAAGTCCACCTTTGTACTCTAGATGAGGAAACCGAACAATAACTGACAGCAAATTCAGTAACTAAAAGCTTGAACTAAATAACGGATGAAAGTTGATGTCAGACCAGTTCAACAATAGTGAATCTCTGATAACGAATAACAGCATCTATTTGAATTGATAATCAGTAGAGAAAATAGTGGTAAAAATACAAAGTACTGGAGCACTAACCTGTAAAGCCTCGCATGACAATACTGTAGCCCCAAGCCGGACATATCGGTTTTATCAACGATGGAATTCGAGACCTCGTCGACATCATCCTGTTCGGTTCGTACAACAGCATTGCCTAGGAAGGAACGTAGATGTACTGGTTTCTGACGCCGCTTTCGGAGAATTTCTATCACCAAACACGTTACCCCCAACTGATCGGCTGTATCCAGAGCCTTCTGTAGGTCGGCAGGGGACAAATTTGGATCAAGTGTGTTGGTGGAGAAGCGCGAGTCTAGTTGCGAGCGGAAAATGGGTAGGAAGGAATCATTCATTGGGGATCGCGAATGATGTCAATTATGATGCCTGATTCCTATGAACTGCAACTGACAAAAAAGAACAGACAACACAATTCCGCTACGGACTCATCACCGTTAATAGCAGTAGAAAAAAAAAAATAGTTCCCGAAGCTGGACGAGAAATATAGGTTCACGACAAACCGGGACCACATCGCATTGTGGCACAGAACACAACCTGTTCAGTCACTAAAATGGTGCACGTTCGCGTATGACCGTATCAGGAGTAGAAACTGTTTCTAGTCAATGGGACGCAACCCATAATGCGAAAAACTAAAATGACGAAACTGCGCATTGACGTGATGTGATGGCTTGCGTGCCTCCCTACTCTGTGAGCTATACAGAATGTATCCCCATAGTCGAACATCCAATCATGCCTGAATGATGAACAGAGGCCGGACGAAGCTCAACCACACAGAGCCAGCCGCTTGGGCACCTAGATTCCTTCGACTATCCAGTCTCACCCCTGGATAGGTCCCTTCCGCAAATATACACGGGACGGGACAGTTTACTGGTAACAAACAGCGAGACGGAAGCAGAGGGGTATCTGGGGCTTCCTCTCGACGGTGAGGGAGCTCTTCGCACTTCATTGGACAGGTACCGCTCGCTCAAGCTGGGCAGCCCCAGCCAATAAGTTGCTATCCCATCCATATTCCGTTTGTCTCATTGGGTGTATGAGGTTACGGGCCGATCCTGAAAAGTGGACCGACAATCCAAGCACCAGCGAACAACACAATTAATCGAAATTCCAAGGCCTTGTGTGACAGGTCTCTAGAAGCTCCCACACGGGTGTTTCTATACGCTCGCACGTTGGATCTGCGCCCCACATCCTGGCAGGTCAGACTTCTGAGTCGAAGGATCAGGCCGGGGTTCCCAAAGAAAAACTCGGTCAGCGTGGACAACCGCGAAATATGCCGTGCCCTAGTCTTAGGCATCCATTTGGAAAAACCTCTTTCTAATCGACCTAGTTCTTCCACCCAATCCTGAATAATCCCTTTTTATTTAGCGGCGTTCAATGTCCACACACTAACAAATTGGTCAACAAGCTGTCTTGGCTAGAACCGTTGAAACGTCCAAGTTAGATGTATGCTATCTTCGAAACACGCATACAAGACCCTTCTTCCATTATCTCTCTGCTTTTTCCTGATTCAACCTCAACCTGACGCTTCACCCTCCGTGTGTCAAGCGATTCGGCATCCGAAGCTTGCGATGTTGCAAGTGTCGGGATTGCGCTAAGTGCAAAGGCGGGGCACTCGCTTCTTGAGTGGATTCCAGTCAGTAGCCGATTGTGAGCTGTACGTCTCAACAGTTCAGCACGGGTCAACAGCTATAGAAGATAGCGTCGATGGTTGTTCTTCGTATCGGTGCATGCACCGACTGATTGTAGTACACCTGAAATCAAGGATGAATTCTACAAGGATCTTCCTCAATTACTCCCAAGTGTTTGATCAACAGACGTCGTAGTACTAGATTTCAATGCTCAAATTGGATCCCTGAACGAATCAGAAAGCCTTCTTGGCAGAAAACATGCATTCCCAGTAAAACGGACGGACCAGGGAGATAGCCTACTTCGAACCTGCGCGGACCACGGATTGTTCCTATCAAGCACCAACTTATCGCACAAGAAACGACATCGCCTTACACGGAAGCCGCCAACATCTTCACAGCACTGGACCACATCACCATCAGTTACCGCTGGAGTGTCAATTGAAGACTGCTGTTCTTACTGGTCCATACCTGCGGATACGGATCACGCTTTGCTACGAGCCAAATTCCCCTTACACCCAGCAAACAACTGTATCAAAGACACCGACAGCGAATATCCACGATACAACATCAGCAATTGTTGCAAATCGGCCTTCGAAGCAGAACTCGCCGATCGTCCCTCAGTTCAACCACTAGCCGAGGGACTCAACGAACAGTGGAAGCAAATCAAGCATATCATGCAAATATCGATAGTGGCAACGTAGGACCCTGGCGCACGCTCAAAACATAAACGGTGGTTCCCGTCGACTTCGGCTGCCCTGCTGGACGCTCGCAGTACCCTTCCCCTGATGCCACATATGAAACAGCGCGCAAATCCCTTAAACGCTAGCTCATCAAGAGCCTGAGGAATGACCGCGAGAAGTGGGGGGTAGAAAAGTGCAGAGAGATGGAAAAGGCTGCGTCCATATGTAATAGTCACAATCCTCTTCATCTAATTAGCAATACGGGCCCCAGGAAAACAGGCATAAGCGAGGTAATTAAAGAATCCCATAGCACACGAATTCACTATCAGCGACACCGTCTTGATCGATGGAGTGAATATTTCGGGGCTCAGTTCAAGCCCATCGACATCTGACTTGTCACCCCCTACCTCGATCGGGCAGATACTCCTATTTGATGCCAGTCCTTCATCTGAAATGCAGGTTTCCCGGGAAATAAGCAAATAAGCAAAAAGACAAGGCCTCCGGCCCAGACGGGCCGTCCCATCGGTTTTTAAGGATGGAGGTTTAGCGTTCTTCTTGGAGTTGACTGAGCTCCTGGGCTCAGTGTGGGAGCATGGATGCGTATTTCTCGTCTTGGTGTATGTACCGACCGATTGTGGTGCACCTGAAACCAAGGAAGAAAGCCAAGGGTGGTCAAAATAAGACCCGACATGAGGGAATGAAAGCCCTAACCAGGAGATTCGGACACATATCGTGTTAGGCGCGCTAGATGGGGACCTCGGGATCATTGTAGTCAATGGTTAGTGATGAGTGATATGGCTGAATGTTGAAAACAGTAGCGCTCGTGCATCTTCTCAATTTCTTTGCGACCTCAGTCTACTGAAATTCATCATTTTCTATTCGATCCGACTTTAAACCTTCTTGTTTCTCTCTTACTGGTTCATCAAAATTAGCAACCAAAAGACAGCAATTAAAACCGACGATTGAATGTGCGTGGGTAATGACTGTACCAACGGAAACTGAATTGAAACGGATGTCTGAATGACACCCTATAAAACAGACCGGATTCTGAACTTCAACAGATCGCTGACCTTCACAGGGATTAAGCGATACAGACCGGTGTCTTCACAGAACAAGAACAAAAATAGTGACTCAGGTATTCAACACAAAAACTATCGGCTTATTTCATCGGCGCGTAGGATGTAGAATACACAGGTAGTTGAGATGAACACGCGGAACATATTATTGGCAAAGGGCTAGTAGTGTGTAACTTGAAAACAGCCAGCTAACCAGTTAACGGAGCACTGAGTTTGCACAAGAACGAGTAAATTGTTGAAGAGCAGTGAAAGTCAGTGTATCACACACACACACACACACACACACACACACCAATAACAACAAAATGACATATTGGTGATGATCAGCACGAACATCTCACTGAGTAGATGAAGATTCGAACATGCGCATGAGTTTTGTTATGCCACGCCTATGACCGAAAAGATGATACCTTTAACCTCATCCAACGAAGACAGTCACTTTTCAACCGAGTGGTGTTCTGGAGAACCAGAATTGATCATCGAAATAGGATCGAAATGGTTAAACGAATCAGGCTCTGAGTGCAACAGCAGACAATATTCATTCACTGCTGGATTTGTTGAATTACTTATCACTTCCACAGTGAGGAAAACGTCAAGGTTACGATGACACTAAATAGATAAATCAACATATTTTCTAACCTTTACACCTAACACATGAGTTGATCAAGCAATGTCACTGAGAGGACTGGCAAACACAAATGTAAATAGGCATTTTAACCATGTTTTTTATTCGGGGTTTGAAATCCTGAGACACGGGCGATCAGAAAAGGGGATAGAAGAAGTGATGGGGGAAGGGCATTTACAGAGATCACTCACTTGGTGACTGGGCCATGCGTTTCAGTATAGTTTGTTGTGCACTGTCCAAGATGTCTGACAATGTGAGGCCCTGTCCACGTCTAGTACTGGCACCTTGGACACGGCCGAAAGGTACATGGACCTGAGAGCAGGCCGAATTGTGAACAGATGGGTCAGTCGGATTTTTACTGCCATGGGAGAAACAGGAGAAAATGAATAATGGATAAAAAGTAGCAGTTTAAACTGGGTCTATTCCGTGTTCCAATCGCTAAAGGAAGGCTATACCTTAACTGTGAATAGCACCCAGCAGAGTATTCGGAACAAACGGCGTTGGACGAAACAGCCGCTTTTTTTCAGTAGTTCATTCTCAGGTCGTTTACAGATGACACAGGGGTACTAGAAAACCGATAGATCACCAACAACATTAATCATGAGCGAGGATTTCCCGTGGTTAAGTTGATTGCGTCACTGGATTAATTTAATCAGCTAGTAAATGTGTTGACTGTTTACGCAGTTTTGCTCGCTCTGCGTATCCGACAGACCACACAATCCGTTATCTAGGATGAACTCTCTCAAATAACCTGGTGTAACCATAGATAGCAATCTTTATTGGTCAACCCACATCCACAACTGCATTGGTAAACTGCGGCACCTATCGTTCCAAATTCGAAAGCTCAGGCAGTTTCGAGCATCTCAGTTAGTGATTTCTACCTTTGCTTATCAGTGTGTTTTCCCCATCCTAGTCTACTGTTCCCCAGTTATTTTTCCTGGCTTACTCAAACAACATTTCAAGGTCTTACGCCACGGTCGAACTATTATTAGCCGTGCCTCTTCTACTCCTGTGAATGGCTGAGCTTTAAAGCTTTCAGCATATCACATAACATCTTGTGTGAAATTTGTTGGGAGGATTTTCACAGATCCTGACAACCCATTGCACGCAGAACGAACATGTTGTCGTTTCCATCATTTAGTACGCTCCCAATTCCGCCAAATTTCATCTCGAATTAACGCTTACCGCAATTCACTTATACTGTTTCTCGTTCGTTTACTCACAAACAAAAGCAGGGCAGTAAGTGCACTTTGTCTCAGCCTTGGATTATGAAGGTGTCCGGATTTGTCTGGTGTCTGGTGTCGACTAAATGGGCTAGGGTCGAGCTGTTTGTTTGTTGATTCGGTCTGTCTTAGTCTCAACCAGACTGGGTGATACTCTTGAAATCGGATAGATAATTGTCGAGTCATCAGACCAACATAAGATGAGCCACAAATGCTCCTGAAACGGTACACAACCACTGGTAAGGTCTGTACTGTAGTAGTCCTCTTTTTAGCCTCAATGTACAAACTTTAATCATGCCGCTGTAGAGGAGTCAGATAAAAAGTTGAAACGTTTTATTTTATACCAATGTTGATTTTGTGATACTTGGCTAAAAAATGAGAAAATGTGGCGATCGTATGCTGCGCAGTTGACCGATGCGTTAGTGTAAAATACTGTACACACTGAACATTGATTGCAGAATGTTTAAACAATACGCCCATCTCTTCAAACCACCTGAAACATTTCGTGTGACTTCCATGTTTTCAGTGAACCAGTTTTTATTCTACTAAATAGTAATCGAATTAAGGAATATAAAATGTTTATCCTGAATTAGTTTACTGAAAGCCTTCTACAGTGGGGTCAAAAAGGGACTGTGGGGTGGAAGAAATCGATTTTGGTGGTTGGCGTGTAACTGTGCCTCTAAAGCCATCCGACGAACAGGGACGCTGTCACAGATGAAAACAACTGGAGAGGCTTGATAATAACCTATTGAAAACATGCCACATAATCTTTGTGTGACATTCAAGATACCGGCGACAGATGAAAATGCTATTGTGTTGAAGTTGAATCCTTTGCTGAATGGGAGGCCTCACAACCCATCTTGGAGCTTCCATAGCCTCGCAGCAGCAGCAGCACCATATGTTGTAGTTGGTCTAGTTAATATACAACCTCAGTGTTCCCTTACCCGATGGTTGTCACCAAATGTTTTACTTTTAAAGTTTCTACAGGCTGGATGGTTAGCATCTTAACCGAATAATGGGTGTTCATAGAGCAGTCGATCAACCGAAGTGTGCTGATCGATGTGTGTCCGGGAGGTCCCGCTTCATTCACTTCCTTTAACTGCCCGTGGCTCTGGGGTTCTCACCGAAACCCTTATAAAAATGTGTTATGAATTTGTAGCTGAACTTCATCTTGTGATATTCAGGTTTTAGGTTTTCCGATCCGTAGCTCCAATAGCACGTTTCGGTCATAATACGGTGTTTGGCAACTTCTTTCAAACCATCAGCTCTGTGTGACAGTCTGGTCGCTCCCTAACGCTAACGCAATGCGTCATAACGAGTGAGGTTCAAGGATGGATAGTCTTCTTCTGCCTCCCGCGGTAACGGCCTAATCGGCCAGATACCCGCAGCGAGGACTCGATCCTTCAAAGATACAAGGCAGCGCAGCCAAAGCCTTTGGCGTGCGTCTTTCGACTCTGGAGTAGAGAATACCTCTCCCTCTCTCTCTCAAACAGATCGGATCGTAAAGACTGCCTCTTTTCATTTTGCCTAAATTAGGCCTTACATTTTCGATCTGATTGATGTAACTGTTTATCCGTTTCGTATCAGACAACCAAACTGATAACCCCAAGGACATGTACCAAATTCAATAACTGTTGAAACAAATTATTTGATATGGAGTTCTTATGTGAACAATGCAGACCATGGTTATTCTTCTGTGCATTGTACCAATCGCCCTTGTTTTGTCGACTATCGGGACTCACTCGCAGCATTACTGTAACCATCACCATCACCAACACCACCACTACCACCATCACTACCTTTCTGCCTAACTTAGACACGCAGTTATTGACACCCATCCGCCATGAACAATTAGGATCACAAAGCTGCGAACAGAATGACGAATCGGTCTCAAGGTGGTACGCTTGAGTCAAACCAATGCAATACGTTTTCTTTTTTCTTTTAAAAAAATGATTATGCAAATTATCTCATTCGTACTCTGTCAACGAATATCGGATCGAATATCGGTCCTGAACTTGTGTATTCAGCCATTGCGCGCTGATCGCATTTCGGCAACTCCTTTTACAGGAGGAATTGGATCATTTCGCATAATCCTGGTACATTTTATCTCCAAAATATTATATTAGTTTTATATTTCAAAGAGGTCTGAGTTCAGACTGTGTACCAAACAAATCGCGGTACAATAATCTATATAAAAAGAAAAACGTCCCACGATTTGCATGTCGGCGTAATACTGTCAGGTTGCCCAGGTCAATTTTCTCGGGGAATTCACAACCAAAGCCAAAGCCTGACGCGGAAGGCAGTTGGGCGGTGTGTGAAAACCACGATCCGTTGGGGGCCGGTATCCAGTTCATCGAATCATTCACCCTTTCGACATGATCAAACGTGCAAGGTGCCCAATACACCCCGATGCCCAATAGAGCCGGTGACCACTGCCACAACCAGAAAGTTGAGTATGTGGTTCGCGTACCCCTTCTTGGTTGGTTTGGAATCAGGGTGTTTGGTCAAATCCCCTACGTAATCTGCCAGTGGTCCACAAACTCGGTTATAGATCCGGATGTCGGCTCTTCGTCCTCTCACTTTGATCGGAAAACACCTTCGCCATGAGAAGGCAGTGATTAAGACTTCCTCAGCTGAGGCTATTTGAGATGCTTGGTCGTATGGGAGCACTTCGCGAGGTGCGGTGCAAGGAAAGAGTGACCAGCCGAAACTCTAGTCACCGACCTTCGACCTTACTGAGGAGTTCGGAAGCTTATCTCTGGATAAACGTATTCATCGAGCGAAGAATTACCGATCAGAGTGAGATCCACCCACAGACCCTGATATATGCGAATTGGCACTGGTTAAAAGGAGAACCTGTTTATTAATGTTGATGAAACTTACCAATTTAGCCACGGGAAACCCAGGCTTCTCAGAACCAGACAAAGATTTTGAAAATGTAAGCGTTGTCCATCTTCGACCTAGAAAAAAAAGAAGTTGAACGTCATGGGTGAGTGTACCTGATCAAAACAAGGATGCGTTCCATGAACAGAATTCTGTAATGCTAATTTGTCCTACATATCACTGAAAAGTCTCGAAAGCACCG